GTATTTTTGCCGCAATACCTTCGTTTGCAACACCTGGTGAATTATTTTGGACAGCTCTTTCAGAACCAGGCCATTTATGAAGTAAAACCATGATTGAACAAAAATGCACTTCCTGGGTACAAGTACATGAATGAAGTGATAAAAGATTACCAGATACGCATACCTGATGAACGACAAAAACCGCGAAAATGGTTGTGTGCTTTCAAAGAAACTGTCGATTCATTCATATACTAATTATTGTGATAAACGTTTTTATATACTACTTATTGTAAAACATTCCACAAGGACACTTAAGTCACTTTGGTTGCGCTTAGTAACATCTAACCCACCTGCATATCGTTGAATCATAGTGTCGATCATTCAATGGACTGGTTGTGAAAGAGCTGTCCAAACATATTTAGCCGGTGTTGCAAACGAGGTTATTGTGACGAAAATACATTTCCTGGGTACAGTTATATGAATGAAAGACAAAAGACTACAGGGCGCATGCCTGGCGAGCGGCAGGAACCGCAGAACCGGTCCTGTGCTTCCACAGAAATTTTATCCGATCATTCATATACTACTTATCGTAAAATATACGTTTATGTTCAAAAACCAAGTACGATTTATGAACTTCAACAACGTATCCGCGTGCCGCGCGGATTCGTCCCATCGTGTACTATTCTGAAAGTGAAGGAAAACCATCGTCGGCGTGTTTACTATGCAAGCGACAGGATGGAAAACATGGAATCATGTCTCATGGAATAAATATACATTTGTTCCCTACTTGTGTTATGTTCTCCGGAAATGTGTCTGACATAGCTAACAAGAGCGCCTTAAAGGAAAAAAGCCGGTTCGGAAAGTATTGAGATTAGTTTTGCGTTATCGTTCAGCTACATCAGTAGATACTAGAGTCCATATGTAGCCAAGTTCAGTGTTTGAAGATATCAGATCGAATGTGAGCGATCTTTTTCCGAAACCGCCTAAAACTCGTTCCCGTATCTAATACCAGTCAAGTGCTGGCACAATGACATAATCGTATGCACATTTTCCCGAAGGGTGCATCGCTCCATTCGGGGCTATCCTGTTGTGATTCTACCCACGCCAAGGTAGCATAGGTTCGACAATCACACGATCGATCGGTCGGCCGTAACGTGATGCTTGACCAGCTAACCGAGTGAGAACCCGCGTCTTGGACACAATCTCGAGTTCTTAGCATCATCAGTAAACTTCGACTGTGCACAGTAGTGGTGCAATCAACACATGGCTGAACGACAGTTGACAAGAGCATCACAAACATTACGAATCGGGGATTAGACAGACTCATGACAGTTTGAGGGATTCCGCACAAATCGCGGAAGGTCATCGCAGAGGGTCAGAGGGATTTAAATTGTTTCAGGTCAAAGGTGAGGGACAAGACGATGTGAAGTAATCACAGTGTATATGACGCGATTGATTGTTTCCTCGTTGACTGCCAGCTGTTGAGCTTATTTGGGTTCGATCGAGACCTTAAACATCGTCTTCAATGTACTGACTTCTAGTCCAACTGTCTTCAGTAAAGGACTATGCGATTGAGCATGAAAACCAGTTTTGTTCGCTGCCACCCAAACTACAACCATTTACATATTCGGAGTTCGAAATTGTTAGTTTTGTTCATCTTCCATTGTCCTTTATGATCGTTCACAGGAATTGTCTATTCACTGCGCAACGGAGGTAGACAAGGGGAGCTATAGATGATTTTCGCAACTGAAGGCGGCGTTCGAAAACTTTTTGGTTTGTGAGGATTCGGCTAGCACACCTGCCTGCGCGACTAACTCCAATATTTAATCGAGTAGGAGTGTCTTGTAAATACATTTACGTTTACAACCAGGCAGCATTACACCTTCAAACAAGCGATGAACCCATTCTCATTGAATATAGACTTGGCACGTTTTACTTGGCACGACCTGAAACCACATCCAAGTTCAATCACAATAAGGTAGACGATAGTTAGTTACGCAATACAGACTGCGAGCTAAACATTAGTATTATATTGCATTGTATTGCAATGAGATGTGCGAACAACTATGCCTAAATTTCAGTTGAAATCTGTGATTACCATCATACTGGGATAAAACTGATGAATATATACATAAGAATAATAAAAAACGCCAACAAAAGATCACCGCGGAAGATCGTGGACCTTTTTCCAGTCACGTGGAATGCGAACCCAAAAGGGTACAACTGAATTATGATAGATATTCAAATGTGAGGCTTAGCAGCGAAGATCGAACCGTGGAAACGGTAGGCATGTAGGTAGGGATTGAGGGAATGATTGGGGTCGTTAAGATTTTTTTGGGCGAAATTCTCAAATGAAGTGATGTGAAAATTACGCCTAATAAGTGCCAACCCGCTGCGTAGAATAATGAAATCCCTTCTAATTAGGTTGAGGAAATCCAAGGAAACAGTAAAGCAGGATAAGAACAATGCATTGATAAACAAAGGAACATGATTGAATGTTTTTCTAAATGACTGTGGCTCGTGCATTTGGGAGGAAAAGTGACGCAGTTTACGTACACATGTTTACAAGCGGTAGGATCACCGTAGACTGCTATCTACGGTGACTCATAGGTATTTGGTGGTGAGTTCTGGTAAGCAGTGAGAAGGTGATGACAGAGGGAGGAATCCAAGTGATATTCAGGTCGGGAAAGAAACATTTAGCAGTCAGATGGAGACCAGATTAGTTCGAGAATACTTGGATTTAATGCTGAACTACCAGAAAATAAGTCCATGTCAGTCTGTTTTGCGACCATTGGACAGAAAACCACATCGGTGGCATATTTTTTCATTTAGGCTGGCAGTGTAAGAAATAAGCGATTGATGAATGATAAAACGAGTATCGAGAAAGAACAACCCCTAGAAGCACTCTCGAATTATTCACTAATGGTTTTGAAACAGCCTAGACTGTGTACCAAACAAGTCACAATTAACTTGATAAAAATAGAAAACTTCCATTACTTGCTCGGAGGTAACCATTGGAAGATCTTCTTCCTGAAATGAACTCGTGGGCGCGAGGCTACCCGGTTACCCAGACCAAANATTCACAACCGGAGCCTTCGGCTAACCAAAGCCTAACTCACAAGGCAGCTACACGGTGTGTGAAGACCGCATTTCATTGAGGGTTGAGGTCCAGTTCGCCTGATCATACGTCCTTTGGACGGGGTCAAACGTCCAAGGGGAGCCAAAACACCTCGGTCATCAATCAAGCCGTGGTTCATACGCCTCTTTTTGGTTGGTTTCAATGATGATTTTCATCCAAATCTCCTAGGTGAAGTGCAAGTGGGTCACTGATTCGGTTTTAGCCCCGGATCTTGGCTTTGTTTACTCAACTGGGTGGGAAAACACCTCCACTGGAATGCAGTGAGTAAGGTTTTCTCAGCAGAGGTTGTTTGAGGCGCACGGTCGTATAGGAGCATTTCACGAGATATGTATTCAACGCAAGTCTAAGTTCAGGCTGTGCCAAGAAAATAACGGTACAAAAATCTTTATAAAAAAAGGCTTCATGATTTGCTTGTAGACGGAATACTGACAGGTTGCCCAGACCAAACCAGGTGATTTTTTTAGGGAGTTCAAAGTCGGAGCCTTGAACTGGCCAAAGTCTGGCCTGCTAGGCAACGGGACGGTGTGTGAGAACCACAATCCGTTGAGGGCCGGTGTCCAGTTTATCGAACCATACGCCCTTTCGACGGGGTCAAACGTCCAAAGTGCCCAGTACACTTCGATGCTCAATCGAGCCGGTGACCATTTCCACAACCAGGAAGGTGTGTGTGTTGTTCGTACACCTTTTATCGGTTGGCCTGGAACCAGGGTTTTTAGCCCACTCCCCTAGGTGAACTGACAATGGTTCACCAAACCGGTTATAACCCCGGATGTAGATTTTTCGTCCTCTCACTTAGGTGCGAAAACACCTCCGCTACGTGACGACGGTAAGGTATCCTCAGGAGAGGCTATTGAGACGCTTGGTCTTATGGGGGCATTTCGCGAGGTACAAGAGAAGGGTGACCAGCCAAAATATGAGACACCCACTCCGGATCATACTGAAACTTTTGAAGGATAGATAAACAAACAGATGCAACACTGAGGTTGACGTCAACAGGTTTGTTTGTTGACCGATTCTTCCATCTACACAGCAATCTGATTCCCTGCCACCACCGAATTTCATTTTTAAACCTCAGGACTCGCTCAGGAAACGAACCATTCAGCGCCTCTCTGAATGGCAAGGAAAGCTGTTTGACGGTTTTCGTTTGGTGCAACTTATAAGCTTGTTCTTATTGTCTTCGTCGAGCAAACTCTATTACTGCACGCGAAAAACTGTTTCCAATAAGGCAGCTCAATTTGGGAATTACGCTCGCTGTTTCAGAAAATTGGTTAATAGAATAGAGATTGTCTGAGGGAAATCTACGAGACAAAGACGATATTTAGTCATGAGAATGACCCTATTGGGGCAATGAATCCAAATTCGAATTTATTTGTTTTGTCTGAATGAAAGCAGAGTAGGCCAAACGAGAGTAAACTTTTGGTATGACAGAAGAGACAGCGGTCTCTAGTGGAGATGGGTGTCTTCGGTTTGACAGAAAAGCATGATGATGGGTAACCACGTTGTCTAACGCAACATGTATCCTGTTGGTCTCTAGAGAGAGATCTATCAAACCGAAAACGAAGGTTGGATTAATCTATGATCAAAGTCGCCAAAAATTCAAATAAGTTACAAAAACCGGAGCAATGAAAGGAATAAATGCATCATAGTATGTAGGTAATTAAGTACGAACAAATCGGAAACACTACCATAACCGAAAACCACGGATTTTTTTAATGTTATACTAAGTGTTATTAATCTTGTACCATTCTGCGGGTTAGCAAGAAAAATTCGACATTTTCACCGGAAACAAAGAGATTAATTAGACTCACCGACTAGAGTCACCTTGAGCCGCATCATGAATCAGCACATACAACTTCACAATATTCGACGCAAACCACCGTGGGTAACTAGCGTCACCGCTACGCTGTTGCTGCGTTTGTTCATCGGACAGTCTTATCAATTCCGAAAGTGGATCTGGATGACTTGTGGAGACGACAATTATACATGCCAGGCTATGATCAAGAAACTCATGAGTGCCCGGCCAGAGACTTTGTATAAACACATACCGCCAAGCTTCAAACCACGGCGTGGTAACTAAAAATGGAAGTGGAATATATGCGAATAGAATGATGTTTCTCGTGAGATTTAAAACTATAAGTAAAACAATTCTATATTAAAAACACCATTTTGCGATTATTAGGAGATATGGTAAACCATGATCACGAGGACCTGAAGACTGCTTATGAGAACCATCAGGACCGCGCTGCTGATTGCATCGTGTGAGATGATAAGTGAGCTATTGCTCAGACATCCCGATCCTTGTCTTCTACATCCAACCCTCTAGCTTGCCCCTCTAACAATCCGTAACATTCCATCAGACAACTTGTTTAAAACTCGTCAAAGGTCGTTACAAAGTAGCGCTGTAAGTATTTCATGACCAAATACACGGAGAAATCTGAAGCTTGTCCAACCTATGAAGCTGGGGACCCTGAACTATCCCTGTACTATAAGCCACTTAGGTGCCCCTCATTTTTCCTCGAGGTACTTCCTTTACATATAAAGCTCGCTCAGCTGGTTACGTGGTATATTTATATATTTTCACACACGTCTGATCGAAAAAGTGGTCACGGACGATCAGCAGCAGTGAACGAGGATTTGGTGGGCTTAACTCTTGGCAAGGTTTCCCCGGGGTAGGTAGTGGATGAGAAGAGTTGAGATAAAAACCAAGACCTGAGAAGAAAGTGTGAAAAGTTGAACCCAGAGACGCGGTCATGTAGGTCACATTAGGCTGCCGGAAGGGGAACATTGATTTCTTTTTTCTTTTTATCATGGGAGAGGGGGGAATTCGAGCGGTAATGGTTAGATTCGAACAAACGTCCTCTGGGGTGATAATTAAGTGACGTTACCACCGGATCTGCGTAGCTAATGATTAGAGACGCTGAGCGATATAGCTGTGTCGCAAACAGTGACGTTCGTGCATCTTTTCATTCTGTTAGAAACCTTAGTCCACCAGAATTCGCTATTTTCTCTTTTTCTCAAACTTCTTCTCAAAGGATGAAGGCCAATACAAGGATTCTGGCCAGAGACGTAAACGCGAGTGTTGGTCGTTGCAGATGGAATCGGCAGCCAGGTGTGGAAACACTCGGCAACTGTTTCAACTCAACCGTTCCCCGTGAATGCTGGTTTAGTATCCCCTCCTGCGTCTAATTATCAATGATCTCGTCCCCCAAACTATCAACCCAATTCACTATTTTGATGATGACCCCACCCTTTACTGCTCCCTCTCCTACCGCACTATTCGCCGTGTCAAAACCAACATCGATCGAGACCATATCATCATCATCATCGTCGTCGTTGAACAGCAAAATACAGTAAAGCGAACTTCATTGATCGCTGCTAAGCTCACAATGTATACAAGGTTAGTGGTAATAATTAATGTGGGCAGGGATTGGACCTATTTTGAGGGAGGGGGGAGAAGGTGACCTCTATGGTCAGCACACAGAGTGCACAATCCAACTGTAAATACATACCGCTCCAAGTATTTTGGCCTGATAAGAAATGACAACAAGAACGCCACAGCTGTTGGTTCGCTGCCATATCCTTCAATGTCTCCAACCAATTAGGTTTGAAGTCTTTCAGATCTCAACCTGGAATGCGTGAGACACCCACTCTACCAAATAGCTCTGCGCATTTCTTCATGCCTCGTCTCCATATCATCTGTTGACCTCCATGTGGTTTCGAGCCTGGATGAGCTCCAGCGAATAAAGCACGGTGCGACGGACAACAGCTGGGCATACGCAATACGTGTCCTAGCCAACGAAGCCTACTAATCTGAATTCCATATGCTAGCAGGTTTAACCCTGATAAACCCCCTAACACACGACGACTAACCTCCAGATTACTAACCAATTCGCTCCATCTCACGGGGGCTAAACTACATAAACACCGATGATCGAAAACGCCTAGTCGATGGATATCTTCTACTCGCAAATTCAAGACCTCACAACCATAAGACCGAACTGGATGAACGGTAGCACTATATAGACGATCTTTCAACTTGAGTGAAATGTTGCGTCTACACCAAAGGTGTTTCAGTCTTGCGTATGCTGCTGGAGCCTTGGAAACGCAGGCCGTTGTATCCTTCGCTGTGCTACCGTGGTTGGTCACGCAACCACCTAAGTAGGAGACGCAATCCACTATAACTAATTCCTGGCCGTTTCGTTTTAAAGCGGGAGGCGACACTTTCAAGGTGCAAAGCACATACCAAATGTGGCAACCGCACTTGTTAGTCTACCACGTGCGCCTTGCGCGTCCTCCGAACATTTAAAATCGAAACCATAGTGCCGTTATTGTGTTACTGGACCCTGACCATGAACATGAATCCACCTGGAGCCACGACAACCATGTTGCATTTATTGCTTTGAAAAACTATTCTTCTTTCAACTCCTCCGCAACACCATTCTTCCCCCTCCCCGAACCCCGACACACGTTGATCATTACCATACAGTGAGATACAGAGAAGTGAACTTCGCTGTTCGCTGCCGAACTCGCAATGTATACAAAGATGGTGGTGATGTAAGTTACACAGAAATTTTATATATATATATATATATATATATATATATATATATATATAATCATTTGCCTGAGTCCAGACTGTGCCAGGCAAATCATGGTACAATAATCTTTATAAAAGAGAAAAACGCCCCATGATTTGCATGTGGGCTGAATATTGCCAGGTTGCCCAGGCCAAAGCAGGTGAATTTTCTTGAGGAATCCACAATCGTAGCCTTCCGCTAACTAAATCCTAACCCACAAGGCAGCTACACGGTGTATGAAAACCTCAATCCGTTGAGGCCGGTGTCCAGTTCATCGGATTATTCGCCCTTCGGACGGGGTCAAACGTCCAAGGTATCCAAGACACACTGATGCCCAATCGAGCCGGTGATCACTGCCACAACCCGGAAGGTGTGGGTGTGGTTTGTATGCTTTTAATTGGTTTGGGTTTTTGACCAATTCCCCAAGGCGAACTG